GTAAACACATACGGAGTCTACTTCCCTGTCAGCCTCACTCCCATCTTGATGCTCTGCTCAGCTGTCTTCTCTGGTCCTCCTGGAACGTTGTTGAGCAATAGAAAGGTCCTCGGAGAAGTTGCTGGGCCCAGTCAGGTTGAAATTCCGTGTGTAACGTCATCAAGTTCAAACAGAGAATTTGTTGATCCTAGAGATCACTAGTCTCAGGAGAGGAATGAGATGCTAGAAATCTGTCAGGTTTCTAGAAGAGTAAGTGAACTAGCAGCTGGGGCAGAATCCAGAGAGGGTATATAGACCAATATAGGAACCAATCTGTCAGAGACTATGCCCTTCTCTTCCCTTCCTTTTTTGCTTCCTTTTATAAATATGCTCTGGAGAGGAAACCAGTGGAAATTAATTTTAGACTTTTGATAATAATAAGCAATAAGAGAACAAATTTCTGCTACTGGTTATAGACTGACATATGGCAATACTGACCATATTTCCTAATGGGAAAATAATTTCTGGAAAGCATTTTATGCCGAGAGCTATGTTATGAAATGTGTGTGTGTGAGTGCATACATATATAATGACAGACACACCAACCAAAAATTTTAGTTTTCAACTTTGTGAATTACCTGATAAGCTTGCAATGTCATGTTCTCTAGATAAATAGGTTTTCTTGGATAGAGTATCTACCTTAGCATTGGCTCCAAAGTAGACACTTGCCCCGAGGACGGTAATGAAATATCCCCCCTCTTACTATTCAAGCAAGAGAGATAAGCTAAAAGAAAAGAAAAGAACCCAAAATGTCTATACGGCTACCCCAAAAGTCAGGATTAACATTTTGGTGTGAATCCTTCCACACTCTCTCTCTCTTCAGTTTAAGAATGTACAAGAATATCTTTCCATGTAAAGAAATACAATTGTGTTTTCATTTTTCACAGTTGCAGAGCATGGATGTATCAGACTTTAGTTTGCAAATTACTTGGAAAGTGGACTTCTAAATGTGGTTCCTAAAACATGCCAGGATAGGACAGATTTTTGTGACACAAATAATTTTCCTCTATTATTGAGCTCTCAGGACCAGGAAAAATTAAATGAAGACAAAGGAGTACAAGGCATAAATGGTATTCTGTATTTTGTCACATGAATGTGTTATTTTGAAAAGATACTACAAAAATATTATGAAAGACAGAGAAAATAAGAGAGAGAAGAGAAAGAGATGGGATATAGTATGGTTTTAAGCCATATAGATATGCAAACATGAAAACCATTTCATCTATTATGTGTGTGTTAGTCTGGGTTTTGAGAGAAGCAGGTGCAAAATGGAATGAAATGTGGAAGGATTGATTCTAGTAGATGAAATGCCTATGGGAGAGAATGGAGAGGGAGACAAATTGGGCTCGGAGAGCAGACAGAGAGAGGGAAGGCTAGGTGGCAGCATTTCAGACTGCCCCAGCATCCCAGGAAGGTTGGCAAAGCTATTCCAGAGCCATGAGACAAGCCAGACAGTGAGGCGTGTGTCCCCTCCCAGGAACAGCTCTGCGCTCATATCCTGTCGCACTTAGTCATTGACTGGAGCAGCCTGTGGGCAGCCCCGTCTTGGTGCAGAGGTAACAGTGGGTTTCAGACCACAGTGTCTGGATACCTGGTCAGTTATGGTCCGTGTAGTAGGAGTTTGTGACTCACATCCTCAGGGCCATCACTGTAGGACAATCATAAAAATATTGAACTTTGACTCTTACAATATCAGCACAATCTAAAAAGTGTTGGTGTCCAGCAACAAAAAGCCTGCCAACTTCTGTAATTGTCATCTATACTCTATCTGAATCCCTAAGCCCTGAAACTTTTATGTTTTCATGTCTTTTTTTTAATGTCTTTTCAGTTTCATTTCAAATTTATTGAAGAGAAAATGTGCTGATCAAGCTGCAGATCTTATGGTATTTACTCTTCTATCTAAAGATTTTATATGTACTAGGATGTAAGGAAACATTTTTATGAGGTAATTAATGGCAGTAATAAAGTCCCTGATGTGTAATTTTGCCTTTACAGGTTCAGCAGCATAAGAATGAACATATAGGGATAAGCATATTTAGCTCAATATTTGTATGAGAGCAGTTTTATAACTAGATAATTGTAAGATCTGTAGCTGTGATATCTAAATGAGAACCAGTTTACAATGGCATGGTTGGATCACATTACTGATACACTTAGAAAGGGAAAAAGAACACATTTTATTAGCAGTTAAATTTTGTTGAGAAGACTCCAAACCAGGGGGCTAATCTGAATCTCACAAAAGTATAATAACATGAATAACATAATGAAGTATAAAGAACTGAGGTTAAGCAAAAAAAAAAGGTATTATGAATAAAATTCCATGATGGTATCAAGGGATAACTAAAATGTCCTTGTTGACTCAAACTGATGGAATTTTTAAATTAATTAACATTTTAGTCCTCTAATAATTTCAAATATTTATTATGTCATTGAAATATTTCAGAAGCTGAAAATCACATGGACCATTGGTTAGTCAACCATCTCCCTTTTATTAAAAGCATAAAAAACTGACTTTGGAGGTCATGTAAAGTAGCTTCCAAAGGGTGAGCAATTTCACACACAGGCCAGGCAAGCATCAGTATTGGTGATGCACTCCAGTGAGCAGAAAGGGTGGAGAGAGTCCAGGACTAGGGCCAGACAAAAAGACACAATAAATGTTCTTCTGCATGGCATCTCTTTACAGGGAACAGGATCCAGAGAAAGGATGCTGGAAATAGGCACCAATCAAGAATGCTTCAGGTCTCCAGTCTTGGAAGGTGGCTGCAGGGAGTAAGTGGGGTAATCAAAGAAAAGGTGGCTTCAGGGTCAAGGTGCATGACTGAGCTGGGACTAAAGGACTGAGACTGTTCTGCATGGTGAATTCATGAAGACAGACTGTTTCCCCAACTCTGTTCGACTGTTGGGAATAGAGGTGCTTCCTTCACAGGCAAACTACTGCCTAGCTTCCGAGCCAGTCCCCGTATTTGCACCCACCATGGGTGCATTATGCTTACCAATCTCAGCTCAGAGCTCAAAACTGAGCCCACCAACTTGGCAGTCCTCAATTCCTTCTGCCACAAAGGCCCAGGACATGCGTTTTCTTCCTAAAGTCCAGCTGAAATTCAAGATCAGCCAATTTGCGGCCCTAACAACTTTCTAGCCTTTTCTAAACTTTCTTCCCTGCAAGCAAGAAGATAATCCAAAGTACTGCCAACCTAAGCCTCTATATACCTGCTTCATGTGGTTACTTCCCACCCACTAAATTCAGTCTCCTCAAGGGCAACACCAACACAAATCAAAGTTTAATTGAATATATCCCTTTGGTCATTGATTAAATTTCTAACTCCTTACCTCAAAGCTAATTCTGTAATTCAAAAGAAATAGCCTTTCTCCATGTCTAGCTTATAGAATCTTTGTACAGATATGTATAAATATATAGACAACCGAGTGAAGCACGCCACCTGCTGGTAAGATACATAATTTTAAGAGTTCATTGTTTTAATGTTTTCAAAAAATTCTAGACCATTCCTACCGCAATTACAGTGTGCCACCTACCATAATTGTATCACAAATACCCAAATACTACCAGACACGTAAAGCAGATAATAGTATTTAAAGGAGTGGAGAATGTGAAGGAAATAAGGAAGGTGAAGGTTTTTAACTATACTTATTTTTCTGTGGGGATCAAAGAAAGCCTATAGTTGCTCTAGCCTGATTATTTTTTTAATGTATCCTGAAGAATAATCCTTGAATTATATAAAACCTACATATAACTAGGTTTTATATAATTCAACAATGCAGATAAATGGCTCCAGGTGTGCTTCTCAAACATAACTGGGAACACGAAGACTTGAGGTTGCATAATCAGTGGCTGACACCAAACCATCAAGAGGTGAGGTCGGCAAGACGGCAGAGTGGGAAGCTGGGAGCGCCCTTCCGCGGCAAGCTCGCTGACCCATCAATTCATGGGCAAATTCCCTTTGTGAGAAATCCAGAAACGAACGAAGAATGAAAAGCTCTTCTTGCACTCTAGGTGAGCATGAAACCAGACTCATCAAAGCAGGCAGGGAGATTCGGGACACACTCTGACCAGAGTCCGCCCCAGTGCATGTAGTACAGCAGTCAGAAAGCAAGCCCCTAGCTCTCGGCTTCTCCCAGGGGAGGGAAAAAGTTGATTTGCGTGTTCAGTGCCCCAGCTTTCCCGAGAGGGATCCTAGAGGACTAACCTGTCTTCTCAGTCTTGGAGCGTGGATGGACCCAACGACAGCCCAGCAGCGTGGGGGAGACAGGAGCCGGCAGCTCGCAATGGCGGACACCGTAGCTCCCCCTCGTGCCCTGTGTGTGGAGAGCAGGTGAAAGGGTCCAGGTCTGGCGAGAGGCCCTGCCTCCCTTTCAGCAGCCAGGCTACGTGGCATCTGCCTCCATAACCTATCCAGCCTCCGCCTCAGGACACCTGGGTAGACGTCATAGCCAACATACTGGGAATTGGACAGGACCCTGGCTGAAAGCTGAAGAGTGTGTCCCTGTAGTAAACATCATTCAAATTACATCCTGAGAGGGGAAAATGCCAGACAGTGAAAACTTTAGCTGATTACCATCTCCTATCCGTGGGGAGATTTGCATTATCTTACCATGGGAGGGCAACGTACATGCCTACACTGTCCTCTAGCTAGACTGCAAATTATGTAAATTGGTATGTCCCTTTTCAGTTTTCTGCTGAAATGCTTAGTCAGATTTTGGGCCAACCTCTAAATAGTACCTTCGGGCCTTGCAATGAGCATTTGTATAAAACGCCGCTCCTGGATTCACTGGCTCTCTCCTATACTCTTCTTCCCCCTAAGTGTTTCCCCAGTTATTTTGTTGAATCTTGTGTGCGCTTATATAAGCCACCTTAAATCCTCTTTGAAAGATCGGGTAAAAACAAACATGAGGATTTGTTTGATTTTCTTATTGTTAAATGTTTTATTGTTGTTATGCTTAGCCATGTGATTTTTACTTTGAAGTGAGCCTTCAACTTGAGGTAACATTGAGTATTCCTCCACAGCATGTCTTTGTCATTCCTTCCAGGAAGCTGTGCCGCGCATGGTTATATGCTGGTGTGAACTCATATGCATTAACTTCTCAAAGTTCTAGGAAAAGACAGAATACGTTTGATAAGATACAGCACAAAGCTATATGCTAATTTTAAGGCAGTTATGAGTTTCCATCAAATACACAAATCCCCGATGTGTATAACTGCAGAGCTGGGGTGATGGTCTCTTCTCAACCTATACACTGCCTGAGGCAGCAAGTAAGCAATCAGAAAGGATTTACAACCCAATGTACTAATGAACAAACGCTTTTGACAGAGTGAAAAGCTTTAATTTGTGAGTAACCACAATTTTCTACCCAATTCTTTCATTGACAGCTAAGCCAAAGGTGAGGAAGAAAACTGGAAAGAGATGAGAAAGCCAGCAGGACTGACTGTGTAGCTATTTACTGAACTTGATGGAGAGGCTGGAGTGGGACGGGGGAGGGAAGAACCCGAGGAGCAACTGCATGGCCCAGGGGGACTCCGAGGACAGAGATGCCCAATGAAGCGTTTTAGGAATTTGTTGTTACTGCTTTAGTTATATTTTGCTTGAAAAAGAATCCCTTGTTTGGTATCTCTTCAAGAAACTTTATTAAAGGATTACTTCCGTTTAAGGATTTTGATGTGAGGATTATATGCATTTCCTTTTAAATGTGTCATAAGATTAGACTAATTTTGCATCATTTTTGAAGGCATTTTAGAGAATTCTGTTATGATGGATTTTTGTGCTTCCCTGAGGAACCATTCTTCCTTATTTTTTTTACTACTTTTATTATGATAAAATACATGTAACATAAAATGTACCATTTTAACCACTTTAAATGTACAAATCAATGGTATTAATTATATTCAGTTTGCACCCATCAACCACAATCTATTGCAAAATTTTCATCACCCTCAACAGAAATTCTATACCCATTAAGCAGTAACTCTTGGTTTCTCCCTCACTCCGGCCCCTAGTGACCTCTAGTCTACTTTTCATCCCTATGAATTTGCCTATTCTAGGTATTTTTCATAAGTGGAATTAAAAAATATTTGTTCTTTTGTGTCTGACTTATTTTATTTAGTATAATGTTTTCAAGGTTGATCTAGGTTGTAGCATTTATCAATGCTTTGTTCCTTTTTACAGTTAAATAATATTCCATTGTATGTACATACCATATTTTGTCTTCTATTGAGGGACACTTGGGTTGTTTCTACTTTTTGGCTATTGTGAATAATGCTACTGTGAACACTGGTGTACAAGTTTATGTTTGCCTGTTTTGAATTTTCTTGGGTATACACCTAGGGGTGGAATTGTTGGGTCAACTATATTCCATGTTTAACCTTCTGAGGAACTGCCACACTTTTCCACAGAAGCTGTCCTATTTTATATTCCTTCTATATATAAGGGTATCAATTTCTCCACATATTTAGCAATACTTGTTACATTCCCTTTTTTATTATAACCATACTAGTTAGGAGCAAGGTGGCATCTCATTGTGGTTTTGATTTGCATTCTCTAGTGACTAGTTACATTGAAGAACTTGTCACATGCTTGTTGGTCATTTATCTTCTTTGGAAAAATGTCTATTCAAGTCCTTTGTCTACTTCTGATATTAAACCCATATCAGATATATGATTTGCAAATATTTTCTCCCATTCTGGGTGGTGTCTTTTCATTATTTTGGTAGCTTCCTTTGATGCACAAAGTTTTAAATTTTGACTAAGTCCAATTTATCTATGTTTTGTTTTCCTTCTTTTGTTGCCTGTGTTTTTGGTGCCAAATTTAAGAAACCATTGCCTAATCCAAGGCCCTGCAGATTTTCCCCTGTTTTCTTCTAAGAGTTTTATAGTTTTAGATCTTAAATTTAGGTATTTGATCCACTTTGAATTAATTTTTATATATAGTGTGAGATAATGGTCGAACTTCTTTCTTTTTAATGTAGATATCTAGTTTTTCCAGTACCATTTATTGAAGAGACTATTCTTTTTTCACTGAATGGTTATGGCACCCTTGCAAAACATCAACTGACCATGGATGTGAACATTTATTTGTAGGTTCTCAATTCAATTCCCTTAGTCTCTATATCTAACTTTATACCACTAATGCACTGTTTCAACTATGGTGGCTTGTAATAAGTTTTGAAATCAGGAAATGGGAGTGCTCCAACTTTGTTCTTTTTCAAGATTGTCTTGGCTACTCTGAGTCGATTGAAATTTCTTATGAATATTAAGATGAGGTTTTCTATTTCTGCAAAACCACCACTGGGATTTTATAGGGATTACATTGAATATATAGATGACTTTGGATAACATTGTCATCTTTACAGTGTTAAGTTTTTCAATCCATGAACAAAGGATGTCTTTCTACCTATTTAAGTCTTCCTTAGTTTTTTTCAGCATTGTTTTATGTTTTTTACTGTAAAAGCCTTCCACTTGTATGCTGATTAATTTATTTCTCAGCATTTTACTCTTTTTTAATCTATAGTAAATTAAATCATTTACTTAATTTCCTTTTTGGATTTTTCGTTGATAGTATAAGAAACAAATAATTTTTGAGTGTTGATTTTGTATCCTGTGCCTTTGCTGAATTATTGTTAACAATTTATGTGTGTGTGTGTAATTCTTTAGGGGTTTACTATATGTAAGATCATGTTTTCTGCTAGTGGAGATAGTTTCAGTTTTTCCTTTCCAATTTGGATGCTTCATTTCTTTCTCTTGCCTAGTTGCTTTGCCTACAACTTCCAATACTATGTTAGGTAGAATACATTTTCATTTCAATCATCTCAGAGTATTTTCTAATTTCTTTTGTGATTTCTTTTATGACTCATTGGTTCTAAGACTGTGCTGTGTTGTTTAATTTCCACATATTTATGAGCTTTCCAGTTTTATTTTTGTAGTTGGTTTTTAGTATCATTCTATTGCAGTCAAAAAACATACTTAATATGATTTCAATATTTTTAAAATTTGTTAAGACTTTTTCATAGTCTAACCTATAGTTTATCTTAGAGAATGTGCCATGTGCATGTAAGAAGAATGTGTTGACTGATAGAGTGTTCCTTATATATCTTTTAGGCCCGATTGAACTATATATTGTTCAAGTCCTCTATTTCCTCTCTAGTGAAGTTTTTAATGCAGTCATTGCATTTTTAAGCTCCAAAATTCCTGTAACTTAGTTTAATTTATGATTTCTCTATCGATATCCTCATTTTGTTCATACATCATTTTCCTGATTTTCTTTAGTTTTTATCCATGGTTTGAGCATATTAAGATAGTTGCTTTAAGTCTTTATCCAGTAAGTCCAATGTGTGGGCTTCCTCAGGGATGGTTTCCATCAATATTTTCCTGTGAATGAGCCATACTTTCCTACTTCCTTGTACATTTTGCAGTTTTGTTGTTGAAAATGGGACTTCCAACTATTCTAATGTGGTACCTCTGGAAATCATTTTTTCCCCTTTTGCTCAGAGTTTCCTCTTCTTCATTGGTGAAGACTTAGTTTGTGTTCAGTCATTGTTTTGACTGAGAATTCCTTGAAAGCCAGGATTTAAAAACAATAACAAACCACTTCTCCAAGTCTCTGTGGTTTGGCTCTGTGCTGCAACATGTCTTTAATGTTTAGCCAGGCCATTTAAAATTCTGCCTCTGACTTCAGTTCCTGCTTGTACTGAGCCTGTAGATCAGTCAGTTGGGAAAAGTTGGGTCCCTCAGATCTTTTCTGAGCATGAATCTTGTCCCAGGTATGTGTGTGGCCTTCTAAATTCCCCAGTACACATTAGTGCTTCTAAATGCCCAAATTTCCCAAAGACACTCTCTCCCCAGGTTTTCCTCCCTGACTTTAGGTGGTCTGTTGTGTGTCGCAACCATATCATCAGCCCCAGGCAGCTGTGGGGATTTTGACCACCATATTATGCTCACCACTTCTCCTCTGTGAGTGGTTTTGGGTTGGGTGGAACAAAGATGAATGCCTTGTGTTAGCCTTTGAATAGCCTTCAGATAGGTTAGAACAGAAAAACACAATAATTTGTGACAAATATCTGCTATATTCTCTCTGGAACCAGAGACCAGGGTCCCATACTGGGAACACAGAATGTGATCTTCAAGACTGTCACAAAGCTGGAGAAACAGTATGGCAGGGGCAAGTAAAAGTGTCATAAGGTTTTCATATCATATCATTTTTAAGGTGCCTTTTTGTTGATTCACATCCACTTGGTTGCTGTAAACCTTTGATTATTACCCAGAATTCTGACAAAGTTGTTTCTGACTATTTCTGGTTGTTTTCAATGTCCCTGTTGTCTGACTATGTTTTCAATGTCTGACTATTTCTGGTTGTTTTCAATGTCTGGTTGTTTCAATGTGAGCTTAGAGCTGCCTACTTCACCATTTTGCTAACATCACTCCAGTGGAGCCTTCTTGATTCCTTTGCTCTGAGGGGCTGACTTATACTCTCAATTCATATGCCTTCTTCCCAGCATGACCAAAACAGAACTCATGGTATTTCCTTCTAGCCTACTTCTCTCTTCTGTATTCTCTGGGAATGGTTAGATCATTTCCTCAGTTACTCCAGCCAGAAAGACTTATTTTTTCCCACTTACGTGGCAGAGCGGAAGTCAGTCATCATGTTCTGTGGACACAATGCAGCCTTCTAAGAATTCTTTGATCATTCCACTTATCACTAAAACACCATTTATACATTATTTCAGGTTGCTGTCATCTTTCACTTTGATGTTTTCAATGTCTCCTGCCTGGATAGCTTGCATCTCACTTTCCTTCTCCATCTCCTATATGCATTTTCTCATAGCACTCTGTGCTTACAGCTAAGAACCCTAGACACCCATGTTAAACAAGGACTATGTGTATTTAGCCCTGTAACAGTGTGCAGCATATAATGTGATCTAAACAAATATAATTTTTGAACATATGAAACAGATCCACAATTCTAGCCCTCATACTGGTATGATTTAGTATATGTATATGTACACACACATATACACACACATATATATATATGATAGTTCAGATGGTTTACAACCTTTTAAGACCCAATTCTCTTTCTTGTTTCCTTACCTCTGATTTTGAAAATCCTACTAATTTTCAAGATCTACTTCATTCTTTCTTCTCCAGTAACTACCCATCAAACATACCTGTCAACTGAGCACTGAACTAATTCAAAATCCTCTAAATTATTCATAATACTCCCCTCATCAAAAAAGGGAGTGATATGCATATGTTAGAATAGTATACACTATATTGCTAATAGACGCTATAAACAAAATGTAGTTCCATTCACCTCCCATCCCTCTCTCATTCATCACTTGCATGCTTAATAATCTACTGTCTTCAGGTATTTAGGTGTGGTTTTTGTGAGTTTTGTCTACCCATTAGATTTACATTTGCTTGAAGGTAATAACCTTTATTCCATCAGGTATGTATTTACCAAGAATCCACAATTCAAGCAGATATACAATACATATTTTCCCAACATATGTTTATGGGTTGTACAATCATGTATATTATATACATATGCCTTGGTCTATAATTGAATCAGACTTATGGAATGAGCTACACTATGCCAGAATTTATTTTTATTTTATGTATCTGTTTTTTTACAATGTTCTTAAAACTGGAGAAATCATGGCTTAAAGGAACTATTAAGGTAACAATGTACTCATATCTCCCTGAGGAACCTGGCTAGGTGTGGAGGGGCTTCTCCACTTCACATTGCTTTCTCATTATGCTCTGGTAACTGATTCTCAATTTGGCTACTTCAGGAAAAAACACTCTGTGTGGGAAGGCTGTACAGTAATATGCAGATCAGCAGCCAGAGCCATACAGGTGTACATTGTGAGACTGCTTTTTGAAAATAAAGAAGGAAAGTAGATCTGATGTAAAAAGTCACCTCTCTCATATTCTCTCACACTGGCCTAGATAAAAACATTTTCAAGTCTTCCATCACCAACTAAGAAGTCAACCCACATACATATTGCCCAGCTACTGCTCCTCAGTAAGTACCTCTTTGCCAAGGAATAGAAGTGATTGCCTTTTACTTTATGATTTCTAATCTTCCATTTGATTACATTATCATATAGCACCTACAGGTAGTTAGTAGGTTCCAAGTTTCCAAATACTTAGAAAACAGAGTTGAGGCTACTGAGAGACTCTGCCCATTCAAAGTGGAGAAGTGGAGGGGAGTTGAGGAGAAGGACTGTATGGACTGTGTCATGCAGATGGTACAAACAGCCGGAGACCAGGACTTGCAAACCCAGGGGTATTTCACTTGCGGCACTGTCTCCCAGGTCCCTGGCATCTACACATCTGAGCTTTGAGGCTTCAAGGTTACTATGAAACAGCATAAAGTGTCTGGCAAGAGATAAAGTTTGATTTAGGAATATGGGAATAGTGCTGGTCTTCCCAGGATAGCCTTGTCCTAGGCCCAGTCACTATAACAAGCAAAGAAAATAATAATTAAAGAGGTACTGTACTTCAATCCTCAGGATTCTCAGGATCCATGTCTTCAAATACACTATTTATGACCTCCACTGCCTCACTGATATTAGATGATCCATGCACAGCATTTTTCAAAACACTTCTTCCAAACTTGGCTCGGATAGATTCAGGGGACAGTAGTTTTGCTTCATCTGGGTCTGTGGGACCCATCAATCGTCTCCATTCTGAAACAGCATTCCACTTGGTCAGGATCATGACCACAGATGGGCCCCTGCAAATAACAATGCTTTCAGAAGACAGGCAGATGACAACTGTGGAGACTGCATACCTGGCTAAAGACAGAAGGCTACAGCTTCATCCAGAGAGCTCATCTTTATTCTTTGTCCTTATCAGTGTAATTTGTATTTGTGTGTGTGTGTGTGTGTGTGTGTGTGTGTGTTTGATTTCTTCCTTTATCAACAGGTTTTTGGGCTAGAAGAAAGTTGCAGTTTCTAGGAATATATGCCAGGCTCTGTTTCAAGTACTTTCAATGTATGAATTAATTAGCCATCAGAACAAACCTATGAGGTAGATACTGTTATTACCCTCACCTTACAGATAAGGAAAACAAGGCACAGATTATGGATGTTGGCAAAGGAGGGATTTAAAAGCAGAGAGCCTCTATATCTGATGTGAAGGCCTAGAGAAAGGGGAAGAAAGAAAGAAAAGAAGGAAGGAGAGAAAAAGGAAGATAGGATGGAAGGAAGGAAGGAAAAAGAAAAGAAATGAAACCTAAATATTAACAGGATATCTTTTAATGAATGAGATGGAATATTTTATACAAAGTGATTTTTGTATCTTTCAAAGTTTCTTTGAACATTTACTACTTTAATAATGCAAAGAGCTATGTAACAGAAACTTACTCAGATAACATTTCCAATAGATCTTTGTAAAAGTCTCTTCCTTTTATTTTTGAATAAATTTTGTCTGCATGCTCTTCAGTTAGAAGCATTTCCTTCATCTGTGTTATATCAAATCCAACCTCTTTAATACGCCTCAAGATCCCCTCTAGGGAAAATAGATAGTTGGTAATCTTACAGATTGCTTTCACTTTCACTCCATGTTCAGTGGATTGAGATTACTAAGGAAAGTAATTGTTTTACTTGCATGATGTGATTTAAAGAATGAAAACTATGTTAAACTAAATTAAACGTAAAAAGATTGACATTCAGAAGAACTATAATATGTTAATATAGATGTTCAATCTCTGACATAACACCTAAACAGAATGATTCAAAAAGGCTCAAAATAATAAATAGGCAAAAATGTTCCAGGTAAGTATAAATAATAAGAAAGCAGGTGTGTGGTCTTGATACCAGACAACCTAGAGTTCAGGTTCCAAAGCATTTAGTGAGACAAAGAAGGACATTGTATGATGCTAAAAGCTCAAATTCACCAAGAATGTCTATATGTCAAGTAACATGAGAGGCACCATTATAAATCAGAAACTATAGGAGAAATGGCAACATACTAAAAAGTAGGTGACTCATCATCACCAACAGTCCAAGATAGATCAAGTTGGCCAAAAATAAAGTAAGCCCATAGAAGATATCATCTAAACAAATAGTAAGGTCAGTCATACACTCAAATTTTGCCCCATGTTGTAGAGAATATCCTTTCTTCTCACATACACAGAATATTCACAAAAAATTACTATATGGTAAGGTAGTTCAACAAAACCATAGCAATTTCAATAAAGAAGAAATAATTGCAAACGACCTTCTCTAACCATAATGCACCAAATACAATAATAATAAAATAAAATTTCTCCTCCATCAGAATAATTCTTTTAAACTTTCTAAAAAGATAAATCTATTAAATAACTCTATGGCCCAGGGAAAACACAAACTTAAACTTCAGGTTTTCTAAAAAACAATGTTAGTAAAAACACTATGCATTAGAATCTATGGGATATAATTAAAGCAGTAATCAGAGAAAAATGTACAACCTTAAAAATTTTACTGACAAAAATAAAGAAATGAATTAAATATCCAATTCAAAAAGCTAGAAGAACATTTTAAAAACTACTAGAAAATAGAAGGAAGGAAAAAATAAGATAAAAATGGAATGGAATGAATTCAGAAAGAGAAAACCAATATAATTTATAAGTAAATAAAATTCTAATTGTTTGAAAGACAACAAATTGAGGAATGGCAAGGTAGAAATAACCATTGAAAACAGGAAGTTAAACAGAAGAGATTTAAAACTTTGTACAGGTGGAATGGATAATTTTCTGGAAGAATGCAGCTTAACAAAAATTACCTCTCCTTAGTGGAGAAAGTCTAAATAGATCAATTTCCTTAGAAGAAATGGGAAACTGGTCAAAGAATTATCCTACAAAAAAAAAAAAAGGAAACAGGCCCAGATGTTTTCACAGGAAAATTTTGCTAAGCCTTCAAAAGCCACCTCCACTGGTACTTAAACTCTTTCAGAGCACTGAACAAAATGATATCTTATTCATGCTTCATAACATAACACAGCCCTGAGCAGCCAACTCACATATATCATAAGCATGCTTCATGCTTACATTGTCATCTAAACCCTGCACCAAAAAATGAAAAGTACAAACCAATCTTATTTCAAGTCTCACTGCAAAAAATCCCAAATGAAATATAAGCATACAGAACCCAAAAGCATATGTGAAAAATACACCATGATTAAGTAGACTTTATCGAGGAATGGGTGAATAGCTCAATATTAGAATAGCATTAGCATATTATAAATGTCATTAGCATAATTTTTCATATTAATATATCTATGGAGAAAAAAATGGTCATCAACTCTGAAAAGGACTTCAACAAAATTCTTTACCATTTTGGTTACAAGAGAGATGGAGAACAAAGGAGAAAGAGCAAATACAACACAAGTTCATTGTAAAATCTAGATAGAGGGATATAGGTTCATTGCATCATTCTTTCAACTTCTCTACAGTTTGAAAAATTTCACAAAATTTTGAAAAGAACATATACATCAGGCTTTATTTTTAAGTATTTACCTCTTTGTTCATGTGTTACATGAGGCTTAATCACTGCTAAAGTGCTTTGCAAAGGAAAGAAATACTGTATTTCCCTTTTGGCAGCTTCTAATGAATCACTTCCATACAACTGGTTGATAGGCAGACTTCCCATTGCAAATTGTGCACATAAACTTTGAAAAAGAAGTCAAGTGAAAAACTGTTATAGCATGACATAACATAACATAACATAACATAATGTAACATAACATAACACAACGTAACACTTCAAAAGTAATTTGAGCAATAGCAACTCATTCCAGATCCAGGCATTGTGCAAAAGGCAGGAATTACAGAGTGGCTTTGAGGCATGCTACTTCTTCCGAAGGAGGTAACAGTCATAAGGAAGAAAGGACATGGACATTTACATAAGCATGATAATGGGTATTGACAGAAAATTCTGAAGGAAGGAAGAGTGAAAGTGAAAACACACAACCCTGGATGCACTACTTGCTAGCTCTGTGTTATTGGGCAATTACTTAACTTCTCTGTGCTGTAGTTGTCTCAAATATAAATGTGATTATAAAACCTGTTTTGGAAGGTGACTTTGAGGATGTCATCAGATGATGTGTTTGAAATATATGGTGCATACTAAGCTCTTAATAAATATTCTTTTCCCTTCTTTCACCACTAAATACTATCAGATGCTAGAGATGGCATTTGACCTTATAATCCAGGAGACACTGCAATGGAACTCCAAAGGGAGCAAAGGCAGCAATAAAAGAGGAGCGTACAGAGTGGCTTTGTGTTAGGAGGCAGGGGTGATGGTGAGGATACTGGACAGTCCAAGTCAGATTAGGCAGTTTATTCTGGTTTTGCTTCTTTTACAATGGACATATGCCAATCTTCTAAATCAATTGTTCTTTGATGTTTTTCAGTTGTCCCTTTTCTGTCTATGTATATTTCAGGAGAGGATATACTCACTGCTCATTTCATTTCCTGCCCTTTACAAACAGCCCTGAGCAGCCAACTCACAAATCCAGCCACAGTAAAGAATGTACCTTCCTGTTAACAGACTGACATCACTGGAAACATAGCTTCCTGCCTTTGGCTTCAAGCTCTTCTTTCCTCTCTGCTTTCAGTGACCCAGTCAGATTTCCTTTCTGCCTTTTCCAACTTGGCCTTCCCATTTGGCCCTTGGGTATTCTCACATCTCTGCTCTGAAGACATTTGCGGCCCAAGACCCTTGGAGCCTGTAATTGCCGGGGGTGGGAGGATTTGCACAGCAAATGATGGAAGCAGCCTAAGCCATCACCAACACTTTCTCTATTCAATGCAGGTAACTACAACCAGGCCCTGTCATGCCATTACATGTGATTATTGGAAAAGGTGTGTGGGAGGCCGGGAGGCTGAGATAGAGGGAATAAGGGATGAGGATGAGGGTTTGCTGTGTTTCTATTTCACTCAAGTGACCTTATTTCAGATTAAGCAATGCAGAGGGTATAGTCCAATACTCAAGTGCAGGAAAGGGCTGCACTCCACTGAAAAAGTTACTTCATAGCAAACCAAAGTTGCTGGGTGGAGCCAAGGAAACTGGAAAACAGGAAACCAATCAAAAATAGTGGTCAAGATTAGTTGTGGACTTGCAGCAACATAGGGATCAAAAGGGCTTTGGGCAGGCTTCTTCTCTGTAAGAGTGGGGTGAAAAAAGGCAGGCAGAATGCCTTCACCTGGAGAAAAAGTCTCTATGCTGGCATACCACCTCCACACTTGGAGCTACAATTGCTAAAACAGTATGGCTACAGGATAGGCCTTGTGTTGGTAGGAATTCTCTCTCTGATGCCATGCATTGTATTCTATGCTATATTTCATTAAGAGGTTCTATGGCATTCTGCTCACAGACTGTCCAACCCATATTATCCTTTATGGTAACTGTCCAGCACAGGAACAAAGGCATAAGTGAGTAGGGCTAAATAAGCGGTAAAATGTGTCTATGCAGGACAAGTTCGATTCCGGAAATCCTACCCAAAAGAAAACACTTTGACTTTTATAGGTGATGATTCATAAGTACTGTTACTTATTGTGTCAACATGGATGTCAAGTTCACTATGCCTGACAGAGCATCTCTGTTCTTGTTCACTTGAAGGAATGACCTTTCTTCTGCTGAATTGATTCTTATGCTGAAATCGGCAAAAAGAATCCAAGCAAATTGTAATTCAGTTTGTTTCCATGAGCTGCGTACCAAAAGAAGATGCCTAAGATATGATTCTCATCCTCCAGGTGATACCAAGCCCAGGAGTTAAGATCAAGAAATGTTTAAAGACTGCCTCCAATGTGCCAGGTAAGATGCCAGGTATTAAGTTAATTACACAGTATAGCTGATTTCGAAGTTCATCAGTAAACTAACTTAGTAGATGTTCCCACCAAATAGTTGAACTACACATTGAGTTGAACACCATGATCTTGAAATTCTTATGCTCAGCTAAAGAATCTCTAGCTGTCACCATACTCTTTTCAAAAGAAAATCTTCTAAATAGTGGGTGGGGTGAATATCTCTGCCAAGAGATGGCCTTTCAGCTGGGTGTCCACCACTTACTTCCCAGCTCCAAACCAAGCACCCCACAACCTTTTCAGCATGGCTGAAAGAACATAGCTTAACAAAAATTACCTCTCCTTAGTGGAGAAAGTCTAAATAGATCAATTTCCATAGAAGAAATGGGAAAGTGGTCAAAGAATTATCCTACAAAAAAAAAAAAGAAAAGAAAACACGCCCAGATGTTTTCACAGGAAAATTCTGCTAAGCCTTCAAAAGCCACCACCATAAGCCGTGGCCATATTCAGGCTGGCAGGGAACCGGGCCTCTAGTCATAAGCAGTCCACTCCTTGCCCAGGAACAGCACTTTTCGTGAGAGCCTCCCTTGGACTAGAGCTGTGGTTCCTGTATCCCATATCCAGAAAAAAAATGAAAATGGGCTCCTATGAAAGAAGTTGAGGACCCATGATATGAATCCTACCACTCTGGAAGATATTCCTTGGCTTTTTCAACATTGTTTGGTCCCATTAGATCTTTCCAGTGCTGTAAACCATTCTCTCTTAATAGAACAAGGGTTAGAGATGGACCACTGTTAGAAAAGAAAAAACAGAGTTAAGAAAAACATGGATCAGTAGCTAATTATATCTAGGTAGTACAAGTGATTTCTTAAAGAAACTAAAATCATGTCAAAATAATCCTTTTATCAAAATTCTAAAATTAAATTCACTGGTGTCCTCTTAAGAGCATATTTATAAAAGGATGGAAGCAAAAAAGGAAGGGAAGAGAAGGGCATAGTCTCTGACAGATTGGTTCCTATACTGGTCTATATACCCTCTCTGGATTCTGCCCCAGCTGCTAGTTCACTTACTCTTCTAGAAACCTGACAGATTTCTATTGAGGAGACTGAATTTAGTGGGTGGGAAGTAACCACATGAAGCAGGTATATAGAGGCTTAGGTTGGCAGTACTTTGGATTATCTTCTTGCTTGCAGGGAAGAAAGTTTAGAAAAGGCTAGAAAGTTGTTAGGGCCGCAAATTGGCTGATCTTGAATTTCAACTGGACTTTAGGAAGAAAACGCATGTCCTGGGCCTTTGTGGCAGAAGGAATTGAGGACTGCCAAGTTGGTGGGCTCAGTTTTGAGCTCTGAGCTGAGATTGGTAAGCATAATGCACCCATGGTGGGTGCAAATACGGGGACTGGCTCGGAAGCTAGGCAGTAGTTTGCCTGTGAAGGAAGCACCTCTATTCCCAACAGTCGAACAGAGTTGGGGAAACAGTCTGTCTTCATGAATTCACCATGCAGAACAGTCTCAGTCCTTTAGTCCCAGCTCAGTCATGCACCTTGACCCTGAAGCCACCTTTTCTTTGATTACCCCACTTACTCCCTGCAGCCACCTTCCAAGACTGGAGACCTGAAGCATTCTTGATTGGTGCCTATTTCCAGCATCCTTTCTCTGGATCCTGTTCCCTGTAAAGAGATGCCATGCAGAAGAACATTTATTGTGTCTTTTTGTCTGGCCCTAGTCCTGGACTCTCTCCACCCTTTCTGCTCACTGGAGTGCATCACCAATACTGATGCTTGCCTGGCCTGTGTGTGAAATTGCTCACCCTTTGGAAGCTACTTTACATGACCTCCAAAGTCAGTTTTTTATGCTTTTAATAAAAGGGAGATGGTTGACTAACCAATGGTCCATGTGATTTTCAGCTTCTGAAATATTTCAATGACATAATAAATATTTGAAATTATTAGAGGACTAAAATGTTAATTAATTTAAAAATTCCATCAGTTTGAGTCAACAAGGACATTTTAGTTATCCCTTGATACCATCATGGAATTTTATTCATAATACCTTTTTTTTTTGCTTAACCTCAGTTCTTTATACTTCATTATGTTATTCATGTTATTATACTTTTGTGAGATTCAGATTAGCCCCCTGGTTTGGAGTCTTCTCAACAAAATTTAACTGCTAATAAAATGTGTTCTTTTTCCCTTTCTAAGTGTATCAGTAATGTGATCCAACCATGCCATTGTAAACTGGTTCTCATTTAGATATCACAGCTACAGATCTTACAATTATCTAGTTATAAAACTGCTCTCATACAAATATTGAGCTAAATATGCTTATCCCTATATGTTCATTCTTATGCTGCTGAACCTGTAAAGGCAAAATTACACATCAGGGACTTTATTACTGCCATTAATTACCTCATAAAAATGTTTCCTTACATCCTAGTACATATAAAATCTTTAGATAGAAGAGTAAATACCATAAGATCTGCAGCTTGATCAGCACATTTTCTCTTCAATAAATTTGAAATGAAACTGAAAAGACATTAAAAAAAAGACATGAAAACATAAAAGTTTCAGGGCTTAGGGATTCAGATAGAGTATAGATGACAATTACAGAAGTTGGCAGGCTTTTTGTTGCTGGACACCAACACTTTTTAGATTGTGCTGATATTGTAAGAGTCAAAGTTCAATATTTTTATGATTGTCCTACAGTGATGGCCCTGAGGATGTGAGTCACAAACTCCTACTACACGGACCATAACTGACCAGGTATCCAGACACTGTGGTCTGAAACCCACTGTTACCTCTGCACCAAGACGGGGCTGCCCACAGGCTGCTCCAGTCAATGACTAAGTGCGACAGGATATGAGCGCAGAGCTGTTCCTGGGAGGGGACACACGCCTCACTGTCTGGCTTGTCTCATGGCTCTGGAATAGCTTTGCCAACCTTCCTGGGATGCTGGGGCAGTCTGAAATGCTGCCACCTAGCCTTCCCTCTCTCTGTCTGCTCTCCGAGCCCAATTTGTCTCCCTCTCCATTCTCTCCCATAGGCATTTCATCTACTAGAATCAATCCTTCCACATTTCATTCCATTTTGCACCTGCTTCTCTCAAAACCCAGACTAACACACACATAATAGATGAAATGGTTTTCATGTTTGCATATCTATATGGCTTAAAACCATACTATATCCCATCTC